ATTATTTTTATTTTAATGTTATTATCATGTAAGTTGTTTTAATTAATTAATTAATTAATTAAATTTAAATTAACTTTGATCATTTTTTAGATACATTAATTATAAACAAATATATTTATTGTATTTTTATTCTGTGCCTTTGACACAAGATAAAAAATCCTTATAAAAAAATATAAAACATTAAAAAATATTACGAAAGAGTCGAGAGAGGGGCATGATGGTCATTCAAAGCAGTGGAGATATTTTAAGAAATGCTAATTAACAGAAAATCGGAAAGGGCAGCAAGGGGAAACAAGGAAAGAGAGTGATCTGATAAATACTTAAATATCTACTTGGTTTTCCATTCATTAATCTCTAATCTTCGTTTGACATGACTTTCATTTTTAGAGATTTAGATCTGTTATTTTGTTCATTTAAAAAATTGGAGGTTACTTACACATAGCTTTTAGAGATTTAGATCTGTCATTCTGAAAATGGAGGGAAATGGATCATCCATACGAACAATTTCTTACATCAAGAAAGATTATACTGAGAATGTTGAAACTCTGGCGCTTTAGTATGGAAGTTGTGAGTATTCTTCCTCAATGTCAATAAGCATGAAATCACTGCACTTGTAAATTTTCTTTTTTTATTTTTTAGTTTTTGTGAGGAAACACTGTACTCGTAAATTTCTGTCTCAAGCTCTGTCATTTTCTTTGCGTTCTTAGGTCATCCAATTGCAAACCTAAAAGATACTGCTGGGCCAGCCTCCATTTTCATGGGCCCATCATAATCTAATAATCATGGATAAAAACAAACTACTTGGATCTTTGTGATAAAGGCCAGTTTATGGGTTCTTTACAGGCCCTTTCATTTGTTATATGGGCCTTAATCTTGAAAAAAAAAGAAGAATTATTTGTCAGAAGCTCTTTCGAGTCTTCTGCGTTTCTTCCTCTCTAGTCTGTACTGTCTGGCTTTCTTTATGAAATTTCTTTTTCCTTGAAGGCAATTTGTGAAAGCGCTCTCTTTATGACATTCTTGGTGTTGAAATTTGACTTATTTATGATACGAATCAGAATGTGTTTATCACGGTAGTATAATTTCACGTCAATTTAAGAATATTGTACAACCCCCGGGCATGCCTGTGCTGAATTCTCATTTGGAAAATAGCGTACTTAGATTCTCTTCCCAAAAACAACGAAGTCAAAAAAATGTAAGAATTGTAGGGATCAATGATTTCACTTCGAGTCTTCAAACCTCTACTTGAAAGAAAACATCAATCTTGAAAATTATTTATAACAATAAATTTTAACAAAAAATACACATTGATTTTTAAAATAAATTGAAGTTTTAATTTTAAATTATTTTATTTTATTTAATTAAAATTTTAAAATCTATTCTATTAAATATTAATATTTAAATTTAAAATTAATTATATTAAAATATATAAACGGTTTCCAAATTTAAATATCATTTAATATATAAATGGTGTCATTTCACATTTCCGTTCATTAATATCTAAATCTTCGTTTAACATGATTTTCATTTTTAGAGATTTAGATCTGTCATTCTGTTCATTTAAAAAAATGAAGATGCTAATTTCTCCTTTTATATTCATTTAATGGAGTTTTGTCATTTAAAAAAATGTAAATCAAGTTTTAAAAGATAAACTATACTCTTAATTTGTATTTTAAAGATCCAAAGTTAAAAAACTCATTGTAATAATTTATTGCATTATATACGTCTATAAATCTCATTAAACATCAGCTTATGTTAATCGAAATTGATCTTCATTTCTTCCCAGACAAGGTGGCTTCTCGCTTGCTTTCTTTGCAGCTTGTGGCTTGGCGAAAGCATTTCTAATTTCCCCCTTTCGATCCTTCAGAAGCAATTT